TATCACTCTGCTTTTGATATAGACAGGATTAGTCTGTTGTAAGATTATGAATATAGTTTTTTGTTTTTTTTTAAACTGTAACATAATGCTTATTAGATTGTCTGATCCAGCTAGCTTCTGTTCTTCCAGCAATTTGAGCTATTTTTGTGTTTACAGGCATGAAGCCATACACTGAAGTGATTATGTTTAAACCTTTTACATAACATTAGTGCTTGAGAATTGCTTTACTGCTAAGCATGATAGAATTTGGTAAACTTCATAGTGAATATAGCTGATGATAGTTTTTAATGAGCATTCTGTTAGGCATTAATCAGTTGTGGTAATGTATATAAGGCTTTGTGCATTTTCTGTTTTCACTGTAAAGCTAAAGCTTTACAAGCTAAAGCTGTCCAAGGTGCAGCTAGAAGAACAAGTCTGTGTCACCCCCAAGTTAAATTAGGTTGAAGCTGGATGTTGTGTTCTGCCAACAGACTCTTAATGGAGAATTCTAATGTGTCCCTAGAATTATAGCAATGTATTAGCCAATATTTTCAGATGCATTTAACTTCTGGGGTGGAAAGAAATTGACTTAATCTCAAAAATGCCTGAGCTTTGGGGAAGCTTTAATGTCTTCTCTAGAATCTGTAGACTAAATTCCTTTGGTTTGTGTTTTTTTTGATAACTTAAATTGCTTCTACATCCACACTTCTAGTGCTCTGGAGAATGCTATGGGAAAGTGATGGAGAGCTAAGTGAATGCAGTAGCTAAACTGTTTTAGGTAATAAGTATTCCACCTGTTGTTTCTCATGTCTTCCTTTTAATCAGATGTGATACCTAATGCCTAACGAGACACTGAACAGCTGCAGGGGTAAGGGAGAGGGAAAGGGAAGGAAATTGAGAGTTGTGATTCTCAAAACAGTACCAGTGTGGCCAGTGGGGGTTGTTTCCTGCTGTGCAGGAACATGCATTTGGGGAGCCATGCAGAGCTCCCATCTGCTGTGCTCAGGGAGGGTGACAAACACCCGTGTGAACTAGAAATTTACCTTCCTTCCTGGGGTGGAGCACCTCTGTGGCACCTTAGGTGCATTACAGTAACTGAAATACCAGGATTCAATGTCTGAATGCAGTTTATTTTCACTCCTTGCTGGCGTTCCCACTGTGATTCAGCCCTATCAGTTTTGCAGTGAAAGAATCAGTAGCTGCAGCTAAGAATGTGTGGCTGCACATAGTTACTTGTGGTGTGTAACTCATGAACTGGACACTGAAGATTATACTTTCAAGTGCTCCCTATGATGGTCCATCAGTAATGATTCTTAAAATACTCCAATTGCTCATACTGTTTTTTCAGGTGCAGATAGTATTTTAAGAGGTCTGTCAGACAGACAGCAAGCTTTCTGTGGGAGCTTCTCCTCCCTCCTCCTCAGATAAATTTTTTATACCTTTTATGCCAGGGAATGAAGTGTTACTTTAAATTTCAGTTGGTTGTGGTTTTTTTTTTTTTTTTTTTTTTTTTTTTTTTNTTTTTTTTTTTTTTTTTTTTTTTTTTTTTTTTTTTTTTTTTATGAGGAGGATTTATGATTTTTTTTTTTTTTTTTTTTTTTTTTTTTTTTTTTTTTTTTGACTTGAAGATTCATTAAGCTGAAAGACTGGCAATAAAGCTGTTGGAGACATTTGTGCTCTGCAGTTTTAGCACTACAGTCTGATGCTTGGTTGCCTCCTTGTGTCAATGTGCTTTTTCACCCTGACAGTGTGTGGTGTGTTAACAGCTTCTCCATCGCTGTCTTGGGGAAGATCTCAGCAGTCAGATCCTCTGCTGCTTGGACAGATACATGAATTCACCAAACTCAAGGCAGATGAAACTGCCTCAGTGGGACAACTGCATTAATGAAATCTTGATCTGGAAAGTGTCTCAAAAGACCATGTCATCCACCCTCCCAGCTTTGCTATGTCCACTGTCACTTCTAGTGGAGGTTTGTCTGACACGTTCTTGGAGATTTACAACATGAGAGATTTGATAGCTGTGCCAAGCAATCTAAACCATGTGCTTCCTGTTCCTTTTGGAAAGTGTTCCTGACCTGTAACCTGAGCCTGTTTTCTTCAGTTAAGGCCTACTTCTTAGATGTGGGAAAAAATGCCCTTGACTGAAAGCTTGATCCACCTGTGGGGAAAAAAAAATCATTGCCTGCTTCATGCAGTTTCTTGGTTATAAACATCACTGCCTTCCATGGATTGGATTCTGCTTACAGGGCTCCTTTTCCTTTCTTACTTCAGTCTCTGCTCCAGTCAGTTTATCTGCTGTGATGAGGACAGGAACATCCAAAGCCATAAAAAAAAACCAAAACAAAACATGTAGGACTCTCAAGTCTTGCTGTGGCAAATTATTTTGCAGGTTACATGTATATGTTCTTACAGCCCTGCTTGGTGCTTGACTTACACTAAATTGTTTTTAGTTATATATACTAATTTGTCACTGAATCATGTTTGGACTGCAAGCTGCTGTCATTATGACTTACTTGGAATTGTGGCCTAGCCAGGTGTTCAGGCAGGGTTTTCTGCAGCTAACTAGTCCTGCCCGTGGAGGTGTGTCTCAGCCCCGCTGTTGCGTGGATCAGCAGAGATACCTGTGCTCCTGCAGCAGACCTGCCACAGGGCTTGTGCTACCTCTTCTCTTCCCTCTGCACTGGCTGAAGAAGGAGCCCACAGCTTGGACTTGGATTGCAGCTACCTGCCAAGAGATCTTTATAGTTCTCATCTGGTGGAATTACTGGTGATCATCCAGATGTTGTGGTAGGACAGATCAGGGATTATAGAATTGGTTAGCCTGGGTTGGAAGGTGCTTTGAAGCACGTTTCGTTCCACCCCTGGCTGTGGGCAAGGACACTTTGTGCCAGAGCTGTCCAGCCTAGCCTTGGACACTTCCAGGGATGGGGCAGCCACAGCTTCTGTGCCAGGGCCTCAGCACCCTCCCAGGGAAGAATTTCTTCTGTATGTTTAGTACAAATCCATCTTTTTTTAGTGGGAATCTCTTTCCCTTGTCCTGTCACTTGAGGTCCTTGTCTGAAGTGTCTCTGCAGCCTGTTTAGGTACTTGAGTGTGTAATAAGGTCACCCTGGAGCCTTTTCTCCTCCAGGCTGAACCCCCCACCTTTCTCAGCCTGTCTCTAGAGCAGAGGGCCTCCAGCCCTTGGAGCATCTTTGTGCCCCTCCTCTGGACTTGCTGCAGCAGCTCCATGTCCTTGTGCTCAGACCCCAGGCCTGGAGGCAGCTCTGCTGAGGGGTCTCACCTGAGTGGGGCAGAGGGACAGATTCCCCTCCCTTGACCTGCTGCCCACGCAGATAAGCCCAGGACATGGTTGATTTTGGGGCTTCAAATGCAGATGGCTGGCTCATGTTGAGTCCATGTTAAGCTGGACTTTTTCTAGGTTCAAAGTCTTTAATTACTCAACTTGGTTGGTGTTGTGAAGGTGACAATGAGCAAACATTTTCTTCCTCACTGTGTTAGCAAACTGCATAGCTGTGCTGGTATGGGAGCACTGGCTAAGTAGTCTTTCATAGAAGCTCTTGGTGTTACTGGATGCTTTGAATGCAGAGGGACCATTTTGTCTGGAATTGTGCAGGAAAGCTGCTTGAGGCACATACATGCCACTGCCAGACTTCAGTGCTTCAGGCTGGGATTGTCCAAGCTGTAGGTAACTGGTGATACCTTTATAGTGGAAATTATGTGTACTTTAACTGGTTTTGTTTAACTCCCTAAGGAAGCTCTGCTTGTGCCTGATCAGGGGAGGGACCAGAGCCCAGCTTGGTCAGGCTGTAGATCAGCTAATAACATGGCTGAAACTCAAAGGCTATCTGGAATCCATGGGAATTTGGTGTATGTTTTTCCACCCCCTTGAACTGCCATACTGTGAGCTCACACTGAGCAAATGATGTGCTAGGAATAATTCTGCATTTGAGGAAACAGGGGGATACTGATTGTGTAAGGGTGGTGTGCTCAAATTAAAGTCTATAGCTGTGCTCATCTTTTCTTGCTGAAATCCTACAACTTCTGTTGAGTACTAAGGAAACCTGCATGACGGGATAGATAGAATAAGCTTGTTATTTAAGCATTTGTATGCCTGTTAATCTCTATTCTTGTTTAAAAAAATTATTCTGAAATTATTCCAGGAGGGACCTGTTAGAGTTTTTTCTGCCCTTGTGTATGATGTGTTACAGAGAATTGGAATTGAGGAAGCAAGTAGGTGAAGGTCTGATTCCTTAGGGATCATTTTCTCCAGGGCACTGTGACACCTAGTGATAGCATTTCCAATGTTTACAGGCTGGACTTTGACTCTCCAGTTGCTCTTTTGCTCTGTTTAGCCAAATGTTTCTTAGCAGCCTGACCTCAAATCACTGAGACTCTTTTCATGGGAGTAGAGATGACCACAAATTATGATAAATTTCATGGTGGCTTTTTAATTATATCACGGATATTCATATCTCCTTCGTGTACCTCCCTGGAAAGTTGAGGATTGCCTTACACGGGGGTTTCTGTTACACTGTCTGGGTGTCTCATTGGTGTGTGTGAGTAATCCTTTTACAGGTGAGTTTTAAGACTTACATGAGCTCAGTACAAAAGCGTCTATGTCCCATGGTGCAGTAGAATCTGCTGTGGAAAAGCTGTTAATTTGTCTCTTGGCTTTAGATCTCAACAGAAGTTAGTTTGTATATCAAAGTGGTAATAATTTTGATCTTAACTTCTCCTCTCTAATATTCATAGTTAGACCCCAACACCTGGAAGGCCTAAGGAAACATTGAGGATAACTGTGTGATTGGAAATGTATAATAATGAAAAATATTCTGTCTGAATAACTTCTAGGTAACTGTAGTTAGTAATTAAGCAGTGCCATTGGCTACTTACATCAAGACCTGAAATTACTTTTTCTGTTTGGATAAGGAGAATCAGACTGCCCCTAGGCATTCCCAAATATTGTCTTTTAACGGATACAAGTGTGATACATCAACCATTCTCCATATGTATTTTAGAACATATCTTTGGAATATCTGAAGTCCATATGGCTATGTATGATGAAGATATCTTGAAAAATCCCTTTTATTTGGCCATTCAGAAGCGACGTCCTGATCTATGCAGCAAAGTTGCAGAACTCCATGGTATTGTAAGTATGAAAAAGTAATATTTAAAAGCTGCTTAGTAAATAGTAGCTATTTGAATTTATATCACGTCTGCTATGAAACATGTAAAGATTATTTCAAGCTTACAAAATTTGGAAATGAAGCAGAACAATTTTTAGTTGAAGTTGCACGCTACTTACTAATATGGACCTCTTGATATATCACAAGGTAGTAAAAAGCTAGGTTTGGTGTTTCTAAACTCTACAGGAATTTATTTTCTTTTCTATGAGCTGAAGTTAGATATTCTCTCACAAGTTTATAACTTAAATGGGATTGACCTTTTGAGATGCCTGGTGGACAAGCAGTTACTCATTTGACAGCATTTTACGTAGCAAAATAAAGCTATTAAACTGACCTGGAATAAAAACTCCAGTCCTTAATATTTACTAATCTGAGTATTTTGCAATTAATTGTAATTCACAATTAAGTGCATAGAGACTCCATTAAACATGGAGGTTATTGTCACCTGATGATAAAATTTGTTTCTTTCTAATTAAGAATTTGTCCCAAATTGCTCATCTGTTGGTCTAAACCCAAGATATTTATCTTAGAGCTTTTTCTTTCTGATGGATTTTTGAGTTTGAATATAAACTTCACTTTTTTATTAGCTGTCTTATTTTAAGTCATCTGTTGTAATTTTAAGTTATTTGTTACTGGTGCCACGTAACTAAAGATTTAATTTACTTAGTGCTGTTTGCTTCAGTTGCATCTGTCAGCCTTTTTCAGATAAGTTACTAAGTGAAATTTCTGGGTTAATTATCAGACTGTGTGTCTAGTTATAACCTCTCCTTTTTTAAATAAAAGCACCTATAATTCCTGTATGTTTACTGTAAATATTTAAAAGCCCAATTTAATTGCTTGCCTCATAAGGATGAAAGGTATTGATATATAGCTGGCAATACACAGCATTTCTCTCTTAAGCATGATTTAACTTTTTTTAGGTGCTAGTTCCATGCAAAGGAAGCCTTTCAAGCAACAGTCTTTCTACCTGCCAGTTTGAATCTTATGTTCTGAAGCCACTGGAAGAAAATTTTCAAACCTTAAATGGAAAGGTATTTCTGTTTGATATCTGAATGTAGCTTGGGGACACTCCAGTAAGTGATTCACTGCTGCTGCTGACTGATTGTGTGAACTAATGGTTACAGACAGGGCAAGTAGGGCTGACACTGCATAGGATCCCAGGTTTTTCATTTGTAATTTTGCAGTACAGTCTGACAGCTAGGGCATACAGCTTGCACTAGAGATAGTTTGTAGGCTGTCATCAGGATTTTCCTGCTCCAGATGTCCTCACTGGAGTTGCTGGGAAAAGAAAACCCAGATGTGAGAAATACACACAAGGTGTGGGGTATTTTTCTGAGACTGGGATTAAGTACTGATCTTAAGCTGTTGGGTTTTTTAAATTTTCTTTCTACTAAAAGTTCTCTAAAATCTGCAAACAAGACCTTGGTTATTGTCTGAAACCTCGTCCAGCAGTAGACTTGTAAAAGAAGTGGCTGTAAGCAAGGTTCAGCCAGCTACTACACAATGAAGGAGCCTTTGTTTCAGTGTCAACACAGCGTGAAAATGTGAAATTTCACCAATTTGGCTCTTTCTTGCCTTGCAAGTTTCTCTTCTTCCCCATGGAAATGTAACTATGCGAGGCAGAAGCCAGAGAACCTTTTTTTCTGGCAGAGTTTCATACCTGATCTGCTCTGTGTTGTTTCAGGAGATCTTCATCCAAGGAAACCTCATCATTCTAGGAGCTGGTTTTAATTGCACTCTCTCTGTACCTGTTCTCTTTGAGGAAACATTTTACAATGAAAAAGAAGAAAGCTTTAGTATATTGTGCATAGCTCATCCTCTGGAAAAAACAGAAAGCTCAAGTATGTATTGGTGTCAGTTTGGTGGCTGCGTTTGCACAGTGAGCAATTTGGTGTTTGATGTGCTGAATAAATGTGTTCATTCTGGAAAGTGTTGGCTTGGTTAGAAGCTATTGGCATTCATGAATTTGCTGGGACAAATATTGGTGTGCTGCTGCAGAGAAACACCAAGTTGCTCCCAGCAAAACTAGTGCTGAGACTGGGATATAAATCCTGTAGTATTAAGAATTATCTGTGGAATACTCAGTTTAGTGCTGACTGCTTAAAAAAGGGATTTAATCATAAATGTGATCATGTGTGTCTTGAGATGCAAGGTGGATGCATCGATAACTGGAGAGGTACATTCTTTCATGATCTTTACATTCTTTCATGATCACTTTATAGAGGGATAGAGATTGGGTGGCAGAGTTAGGTACCAACCTCCTGATGGCCCAACTTATGAAGTTGAATGTCTCAATTTTTGTCCTGCACTGAAAGTGCTCCTGAAGGCTGTAACACTCTTTTCAAAACTACAGTCAATACTGTGAATGTTAACAGCATGTTCTTGTGAACTTGTATGACAATCTATGTTTACTAATTAAGAACAGAAGCTCCTTAAGAAGCTTAGAAGCTTCAGTTTTTTCTGAAGTAAAAACATTAGTCTTCCTAAATAAATAAAAATATTTGAAACAAGTGAATGCAAAGAGAAGTTAGTACTAGGGTAGTGTGAAAGTAGTACTGTGAGGGAAGTATGGAAGGCTTTAGAAAAAAAAAAGCAGCTGCCATTCATATAGCCTTAAATTCTGTAAGTATTAATGTATATCTTAAAAATTATTCATGTGATATTCTTTATAGACATTACTGAATATAGTCATATCATAGTCTTTCAGAAGTGTAGGAGTTTCTAATTTCAAAAATAATTTGAAAATAATTATTTAAGCTTCTTATTAGCTGCCTGCCTTTGGCTGAAGATGAAAGATTTGCCTAGAAATAATTTTTGGAAAAACAGCATCCTTTCTAATTGAGGGTTTCAGTTGTTTTAGTCAGAAGAAAAGTGGCTTTGCTTTATTGTTCCTTCATTTAACTTTGCTCTCCCATTCAGAGAAAGCATGTCTAAATAAAGAATAGCTTATGTAAAAGTCCATGATGGGATTTTTGCAGTTCACTGAAAGCACCCTGACTTCCTGCATGGTCACTCTGTCAACACTGTAAGATGCTTTTCTTCTGCTTTGAGCTTGACTTACACAACTCATAAGCTGAGTGCATGTGGTAATAAATTATCCCAGTGTAAAAAAATAAGTGAAATCTGATTTAGCTATTCCAAATAAACACTTGACATAAAAAGCAGAGGAGCCTGCTCAAATGTGATGCATTGAAGTCTTTTAATTAAAGGCAATACCTCTAGTTAAAGGTGCAGTGAGCTGAGTTCATGTTTCAGTGCACACAAGCTGGCTGTATATGTAAGGAGAAAATGTATTTTACCATGCATACTATATAGTAAGTCTATGTGTTAATTCTTGGCTTTTATTTTAGGTGAATCTACAGCTTCATCAAACTCCTATTCTCTTAAAAACATTGAAGATGTTAGAGAGTTCTTGGGAAGGCACTGTGAGAGATTTGATAAATACATAGGATCTTTCTATAGAACATTTAAAGAACATGAAAGGAAAAGCCTCCGCCACTACATAGTCAGTATCCTCCTTCCTGATGTCTAATTTGCTAAATATAATTAGCCTCACTGGTGCTGTTATCTTTGCCTTACTGAGCTTTTCTGTGTCAGAGTAGCCTAGAGTTGTGAAAGGGGAGGAGGGAGAAGTGGTAATTCACATTTAAGAATTTCACTCTCTTAACTGTTTAGTAAATGCAATTATTGCTAAAACTCTTACCAAACTGTACACTTTTGAGACAGGGAAGACTTAAATTACTTATTTAAGCTTTGTTTCTTCAAGTCCCATTAACCTGAATCTGATGGCTTTTATCTTTTATCTCTCCTAGGATTCTGTCAATGCACTTTATACCAAATGTCTGCAGTATCTTTTGAGAGATTCGCACTTGGTAAAGACTTACTCCCCTAAATACATAGCACAGTGTTACTTAAGCAATAAATTATCTGACTTTCTCTTGCTGTTTATGGCTTTGCTTTTCTAGAAGATGCTTGCAAAGCAAGAAGAGCAGATGAATCTGATCAAACAAGCAGTTGAAGTAAGCATCTGAAATGAAGGAAAATAAATAGCAAGCTTTTTAATTCTCCTTTTCATGCCTAAAATACTCTTTTTTTTTTCCCTACAGATGTATATCCATCATGCTATTTATGACCTAGTCTTCAAATATGTGGGGACAATTGAGGCAAGTGAGGTAAGTTTCCTTGATTGCTCTATACTAGTGATGTTTATCTAAGGCATTTAAAAAACCTGTTGCCTTTCTATTAATTAGGATGCTGATTTTAATAAAATCACGAGGAGCCTTCAAGACCTGCAGCAAAAAGACATTGGAGTGAAGCCCGAGTTCAGGTGAGAGAGATGACTGGATTCTTGAAGAGTCACCAAGATCCTGTTTGAAATAGGATAATGCCAGCCAAAAAGTGTTTTCCTTCTGACACTAGCAAATTTTTTTATACTTTAATTTGAGATGTAGAGTCAAAGCTTTGCAAGTGTCATATGAGGACAATCTTTGTCTTGATGGTTGATTCCTTTACTTTTTTGTTTTTAAGCCATCTACAGGATACAGAAATGCAGGTGTACTTGTAGTAGAAGTGGGAATATTTTGGAACCATTTTTCAATTCAGCTCTGAATAAGTTAAAACTTGGGCTTTGGATATCCTGCAGAGGAACTCTGTATGCTAATCATTCCTTTCTAATTATTTTGAAGTTTTAATATACCACGTGCAAAGCGGGAACTGGGTCAGTTGAACAAATGCACTTCCCCTCAACAGAAGCTACTTTGTCTGCGTAAAGTTGTACAAATTATTATGCAGTCTCCAAGCCAAAGAGGTCAGTAATTAGTCAATTTATAATTTTCAACTTAAGCAGCACACACGAAGCACTTCAGTGTATATGGATAGCTCTTGGGGATCAAACACAGTTGAGCTGGGGTCTATAAGGTCTCTGAACAGAGCAGAAGGGAAGGGGGAATAAGGTAGATGTGTCAGCACTGGTTCCTGTGGGCTGAGGTGGGGCACTGGGTTAGCTTGTGTATGTTTTAGCTTGGACATGTAGGAAGCTCACATCTGCCAGGACCCTGAGGGTGATCCATTTGAAACCCTGGAGATTGCTGCTGGTTTGTTCTTGTGTATTTGTCCATGCTCCCCTTGACATCTTGAAATTGGTAACTCTTGAGATGCATCTTCTGCAAAATGCAAAAGATGCCTGGGGCCAAACAAAGGTGCTGCAGATTCTGCTGATTCTGCTGCAAAGGTGGATTGCAGATTCTGTGATACCAAAGCACAGTCCTCTTAACCTGGCACTTATTTTATCTAGCTTGAAAAGACAAAATACTTCTACAAGACAAATAGAGTTGCACAGCTGAACTTATGCTTTCCCTACTTCATCTCTTCTTTTCTCTAGGAAGACTGCTGGCTTGTGGAAAAATGGGGTACCAACTTTGAGACTAGTCTTTGCCCTCAAGAATTTCAGAAATCTTGAGCTACTGCCCTGGCTCTTGCTGCATGGGAAGGGAGGGATGCTAGTCAAATATTGCAGTGTGTACTGCACAGACTGCATCTGTGTGTTGGCTCCTGGCAGACTATTTCAGTGAGAGATTGAGAACATTTGGCTGCCTGCCCTGGTCTCTCCATGCATTCTCTACTAATAGCTGGCCCTTAGTCTTAAGAGGCAGAACTTTATAGAGTTATTGCTCTTGATTTGAGCCATTGCGTGACTAATACTAAATGTGAATTGTTTTTTTAGTTAACATGGAAACCATGTGTGCAGATGATCTTCTCTCTGTGTTGCTGTATCTGCTTGTAAAAACAGAAATCCCAAACTGGTATGTAACTGTTTTAGCTATATAGAACTCCCTCCTACCATCTTGTGTAGTGCTGCTATAGGGACACATGTTTCTGAACATACAGTTATAACTTTCTGAAAGTGTAAGAGGGCCTGTTGAAATGCAGAAAATGTTTTACAGGACAAATAGCAAAGCTGTGTTATATGTGTAACTAAACAAAGGAGCTATCAGGACCATGCCTTTGTTTTGATTCTCAGCCTAGAAAAAGGTTGTAATGGGAGGCCATCTCTCAACGAAATCTGTGTGTCATTACAGCCTTCACAGAGTGGTTCTCTTCTACGCCAGGAGCTGTGACACCTTTATGTATTTTTATCAAGATTTGGTTCATTTCTTACACAGAATCTAGATGTGAATATTTAATTACTTCCTGCTAGCTTGTGCTATTGTGTCCTCATTTTCAGTAAAAGTCTATATAAACCTTTCAGCTGTACATGAACTGATTCTCAGTTCTGTTCTATCCTGGATATGTGAGATCAGCATTTAGTCTTTAACTTGTAGCTGTCACTGTGGTGCTTATGGTGCTGGAAACACTGCTTCGCTCACTTCAAAGATGTTGATCTCCCATTATTGTCCTTATCTCATCCTTCTATTCCTTCTGTCCAATTGATAACTCTTCATTGAATATATGAGATAAGTAGAGATCTGATCACTCTACAAGCACAGAACAGCCATGTTGCTGGCCTAACAGGTTTTTTAGAAGTTTTTTCCCAGCTCACCCTTTTGTCTGCCTGGATTGCCTAAGATGAGCTGCAATATGCCATGCTAGTGTCTTATTTTCAGTGGTTCATAACTTTAACTTTTTTCTTTCCAGGATGGCCAACTTGAGTTACATAAAGAACTTCAGGCTCTGCAGCTCAGTGAAGGATGAGCTGGGCTACTGCCTGACCTCCATTGAGGCTGCAATAGAATACATCCGGCAAGGCAACCTCTCTGACAGATCAACAGTAAGCTACTCTTAAACTCTGTCAAATGCCTGCTTGTAGTACCACTGTGGGTGCAAATCCAGCCAGAGGATACAAATAACTACCATAAGAATTTCCTTTTTTTCATTTAAAAAAATGAGTAGCGGTAACTACCTGAAGCAAACTCTAAATTTACATAATTTATTAGAATGAAGTCCTAACTATGTGCCAGTATTTTTGTTCATTGCATGCTTCTTGAGGAAGTACTTAAATGTCAAATCTGCCTCTGTGTATGGTTGGAGGAAAAATGACAGCACCATTTTCTACAGCCGAGTCTCCAGTATGTTTATCTCCTGTTTGTACTCTACCATGATTGTGAAAGCAGTGCAGTACTTGGGAGCAGGCACAGCTTAAATTTTTGTGTAATTATAAAAGCTTAGCTGTGTTAGCAGAATGGAGATAGCAGTGTCATTTAGAATTATTCAGTGAATCTTCATACTGGAAGAATTCCATGTGTTTGCAGTGTGGGTTACAGTGCTGCACTGAGTTGATGGCTTACTGAAGGGGGGTGCAGGGCTGTGATAAGGTGCTCTTGAAGGTCAGTGTGGCTCTTGGGATCTCTGACCTAGCAGGGGCAGGAAATCTGTGGCTACATGAGAGATTTCCTACTGGGCAACTAGACCTGCTGTCAGTCTGGTCACATCCCTGCAGGCCAGTCAAGGGCAATGCTGATGTGACTTTAGAGACTTCTATAATTTAAGAACTTTGTAGATTTAGTCAAGAAATCTAATCTTACCACTTCTGTAAAATTTTCTACTATTGTAAAACTAGGTTTTCCTGAGCTGATGCGGACATCAAAAGGAGTGAACATGGAACCAGTGTGAATTCAATGTGTCTCAGTCTGCCCAACTGCAAAGCCCTGGAGTCTAACTGCAGGGGCCAGAACAATGGTTCAGTGTGCAGGGCTTGGGATGGGACAACCTGGGGCACAGTCTTAAGGAGCACTTAATGCAACATTCTGGCCTCTTGCTATTTTTGGTTTGGTCTTTTTCTGGGATTTTTCCTTGAACTTGTGCAAGTTTGTTTTGTACACACAACAAAAAAAAAAAAAAAAAAAAAAAAAAAAAAAAAAAAAAAAAAAAAAAAAAAAAACCACAAAAAAGTAACCAACACTTTCATATTGTGCAAAAAAGAGTGGTATTTCTTGCCTGTAATTGAATTAAATTAAAAAAAAAATAAAAATCTTAGTTTAAAAGAAACAACCTGCTATATGACTTTAATTCCTGCAGTCACTTGGATGTCCTCCACAATCGATATACAAAGAGCAATTCTGGGGCTCTGAAAGAAAACTGAAACCAAAGTAGAATTGTCTTCTACAACAATGCCAGCAAACTATGATAGAATATTCTGCTCTTACATTTCTAGAATAAAGACCATTTCCTATTAAATGCCTGATCCTACCTGTCTTGGTGTAGTTAAGGACAGCAGCTATTATACTGGGATTGCATTCAAATGTTGTAACTTAAGTGCCACTTCCATTAAGGTAATATAGTTCTTTGGGAGGCACCTGTCTTAAAAGATAAACTATATATTTGAGAAGTCTAAATGAGAAATTCAGTGTTTTCACCATGAGAAGAGCAACCCATTAGTCTTTCTGCCCATACTTCAGCTGGATCAGCTCCAGACCTAGAGAACTTTATCTCTTTAGGGTGAATGTGTAACACAAAGTCCTCTTGCATTGCCTTTCCTTGGAGTCAGCCTGGCTGGAAGGCAGCAGAACCCTGAGGATGAAGTGAGGGACAACTTGCCCTTAACACAGCTGGAAAGGAAACAGCCAGATCACCCTTTTCTCCTGGGCAGGAGAAGGTGGCACACTATGAAAAGAGACTGAAGTGGAAATGGAAAAAGGATAGTGAGGAGGTGGAGGAGCATAGTTTTCACTTCAGAAAGTTGCCAGTTGAGATATTTGCTTTAATCTCTGGTAAAGGGGATGAACTTTGAAGCAGCAGCAGCTGTCATATTGCTGCCCTATGATTTCCTTCTCCAGATTGTACTGGAAGTGGGTGTGGGATTGAAATGAGCAGGAGCATTGTTGTGCCCTAGGGCTTCATTCAGCCCCTTATGTGGTTATGCTTAATTTTATAGCTGGCTTCAGATGGAGCTTCTGGCAGCTGAGTAATGCTGCTGTCCAATCCCTAATGAAGATTACTCCAGAAAGAAACTCAGGAGGGGACTAATGTACCCTGAGGGATAATGGGCACATTCTCACCCTTCTGTCAGTAAGTGAATTGCACGCAGGACATTCTTGCCAAATCCCTCCACCCAAGGTCATGCAAGTCCTTGTGAGACACTTTGTGGGGAAGAGAGGAGCCTGTAAGGTATGAGAGAGTCAATTTTATTTTCTGAACGGTCAACATGACTCAAGTAGAATTCCTGTTAATAAGTGCTGGATACTAGCTCATTCCTATGCACAGCTACTGTGTAGTAAAGCTCTGAAGTTCAGAGGGTTCAGGTGAGGTATAAGAAAACAGGGAGTCAGAGCCAGCCATGAGGGAATAGGCAGCATTTTGTTTCATGTGTGGGAAGAGCTTGAGATGGGGAAATGATCCCTGCTCCCCCTTCCTCACCAAACACTTTATTAGCCTTAGTTTGTGTTCAAGAGTTCCTTTCTTGGCTTCTGCCACCTGTGTTTCCTCCAAGTCCTCAGCTGTAATCTGTGAGAATCACTTGGGGTAGATCATTACAAAGGTACACTCTCATAAGTATAACTACTTTCTTTTTCTATACACTGTTGTATTAGATAAAAAGGCCATTAATGTTTGGGTGTGTATTTTCTAAACAACATACTCTTAACATACTTGGAAGTCTCACTCCAAGCAATCTCTTTTTAAAAGAAGTAGAAGTTCTTGGGCTTTAAGTAAAGCTGGTACAAGTAATTTCTGACTTTGAAGGCCCAAACTTGCTTAATCCTTCAGTGACTATCTTATTCTCATCATTCCATATTTCACTATTAAAGATACATGGTTTCACCTGGGCTTTTTTTATTCTGATTTGTATAATAAATATATAATATTGCTACATTAGGGTTTCTGTCTCATGTGACTCTCTTAAAAGAATGATTCCAGTTGGAGAACACTTCTCTTGAAGACACACACTGTGGAAGGAGCAGTTCTAAAACTACATTAGTTCTTGCTAATGGTTACTTAGATTCTCCACAGTGCAAGTATAAAGCTGTCTGTGAGCATCTACACTAGAAATTCTGATTAGACATTAGGAACTTGTACTAGCAGTTAATTTTTTGATCAAATATTTCTTAGGGAAGTTATTCCTGTTCCTAGTGAAGAATCTATCCAAGGAGACTAGTGTTTTATGTCTTGTAATTCTGAGAATATATGCTTGGGTATTGTTAGCTAAAGTACAGAGATTTGAAAAGATTGGTGAATATTTGTCACCTTCGTGTATCTAAATCCTGTGAAGTACAGAGAAGAGCTTTCATCTCCAGATCTCACAAACATGTTTTTAATGACCTTATTTGCTGCACTCTTAAGGGTTTTTTGGACAGCTTTATGAAAGGCATCTGTATTGATTTTGAAACATGAATAGTCTTAATTTCTAGAAAGTCTGAATCAACCAATGTTGTTTATTTGCAGTTAATGGGGCTCAAATTTCATGCTGATTTACTAATGTAAGAGTGGAGTCAGACTGGTTTTACTCATTTACATCTGGTCTTGACAGACTTTAATTGCAAAAGCCATAGCCCAGATCCTAAACTGTTGAAGTTTGCCTGATACATGGGTGTGTGTCTTTAATGCAGTGGTTTTCTGTTTCATGGATGCTGAAGTCTTTCCATTTCTGGAGAGCCATTATCCTACAACAGCACCACTGCCAGCCATAAGCAGCTGTGGATCAGAACCAACCACATGCAAAAGTTTCCATTTGCATTCTTAGAAAGTGTTTTCCTTAGGTTTTTGTTTTATTTCATGGGAGGGTCAGTGCTGCTGTCTCAGAATCTAACTCCACTTAATAATTTTCACCTGGCTTTGGAGGCATTTATATTCTTTAGTGCTTTCTGAAGTGTATCTTCAGCTGTCTCTAAGTGCTGATGGAAGGGTTGGAGCTGTATCTGCTTAGCTCAAACCAAGTAGGAAATCTACACAGATAGATCTGCTGCAGAGCAATGCTTTGCCTGGTGCAATCTTCTATTTTTCAGCCAGCAGCAGAGCATTCAGAATTCTTTGAGTCAGAGTTGTATCTGGGTCATCTTTTATAGTGGTCATCGGTAGATGTGTTTTATGTGAATTTGCCTTAATTTCTCCTCTTGAGAAAGCTGTGTTGTACCTCTTACAGTTCATTCTGTCTTTGATACATATTTTCTAGTTTTGCTGTTTTATTTTTTAGATGGTACCGCCATAATTTCATTAATGTTAATTAACAGTGAATTTCAGTAAAGGAATTTTCTGGTGAACATCTAATTATTTCTATGGGTGCCCAGTTTTTTATGGCTCAAAATCTTAAAAGTGAAACTGATTCAGATTTCCCGTGTGTCTGATAATTCATACACAGTAAATAAGTGTTTAGTATTCTTTAAAGTTAATTCCACTGTTAGGGTTCTGCACTTTTGTCTGTAGATGACTGTATAAATAATCAATCTATCTGCTTTATTTTCAGGAATCTGAGAGTCTGTGTGACAAGCTGCTCTTAAGACAAAGGATGAACTTGTTGTCCCAGATGTCTGCTGCACCAATAGACTGCTTGTTTAAGGTTAATAACTCTTATGGCAGAATATGTATGTATTTGCACATTTCAAGTTTATATGCCTCTTTTCTGAAGTTTTCTGGAAAGTAATGAAGGGTGAATTACATTACTACTGTGAAATGTGTTTTAGTAGATGCTAAAATCTACTCTGTCTTTTCAATCGAGTACATTTCTGTGCCAAAGCCTTGCTAACATAATATAATCTTATGAATTTCAGTACATGTTATATGACATATAGAAGCAAATGAGGATGAAATGCTACTGCTGTTGGTATTGTGTGGCCCATTTAAATCACAGATGTGATACTGCTTATGTCTCACAGCTTTTAGTACTTGAAATTGGAAGAGTTTTTGGAAATTATTTAAATGTAGTCACCTGACAGCTACTTCATATTATCTGTTAATCTCATACTGTCATTCTAAAAGAATTTTGCCTATACAAGGACACAAAGCAGAGCTCCTAATTATATGTGTTCACAGCTTATGGCTGGAGACTTAGTAATTTTATAGACACGTCTTTGCACAGAGGGAGCTCAATTTCATGATTGAGTCTAAAGAGGACAATAGGAATTGTTTTAATTTTTTTATAGAAAGTGAAGTAAGCCAAGAACAGTTTCTTTTTAATACTGAATGCCCATTAGGGGGTTTTGTGCTGTGACATTGTTCATTTCTGCTTTCTAATGCTTGACTACGTCTTTCATTATAGATTATTTTTATTTTGTGCTTCAGTAAATTACTCTTGGCTTTTTTGTCTTAAAAGGAGGTCTTTTATATTGGTTTCTCATTCTCTCCTGTTTTTTTGTAGCATATTGCTTCAGGTGATCAGGAGGAAGTGGAGCGGCTGCTGAGTCAAGGTGACAGTGATAAGGACACTGTACAGAAAATGTGTCACCCGCTGTGTTACTGTGACAAATGCGAGAAGCTGGTTTCTGGGTGAGCACTCTTCACCCCACAAATGCAGACAAAGCTGTATAGAAGCCTTTATCTAAGATTTGTTTCAGGAAGTATGCTGCTTTTTGTTCTAGGGGAATTTGGGTGCACTTTGGAATATAGTAGAGAGAGTGTGGGTGTGTGTGGTTGGAAAAACAGAAGAAATATTGGGAACATACAGAATCCTTTGGAACCCACCCTTCTGTGATGGAGCCTGTGTGAGCTTTGGTAAACATGGTGCTTGTTCTCTTGAATCAAACTTACAGATCTGGGACTAACTCACTTCTCTTAACAAAATGTAAAGTTCTGTATGGAATAATTTGTCAATGTAAAAGGATAAAAAGTTCCAAAATCAGTTTTTTGCCATCCTTGGCAGCTTTTCCTTTTCTCCTCCTTCCTACCACCACCTGGGTAATTAAGCTGTTTTCAAACATTGTGTTTTAAAGGAAACTGAATGACCCTTCCATTATCACCCCCTTTTCCCGAGATGACCGTGGATATACTCCTCTTCATATAGCTGCTATTTGTGGTGAGTGGGCTTCACTGGTGTTTCCTCCTCCTTTTGCTTTTGTGTCTTTATGTCAGCCTGTTTCCCATCTTTTATTGAAGTTTGAATTCTGCATTAAGTTGTTTTATTGCTTTTTTGCTATTGAAACTTTGCTGTTTCTATCTGAGCACAGACTGAAGTTGTTGTATATTCTTTTAAGCTCAGTTTCTTATGGCTGAGTTAATCTTTGGTTGTTGACTCTACGTTTGCCATAGTGGTTACCACAGCGGTGCTTTCTTCAGCTTTGAAAAAATAAAGATATATCCTTAGAAATCAGTCTTTTTTTAAAGGACTGGCAGATTGAGAAACAACTTTTCTCTTTCCTGCATCTGGTTATGCATTGTAGATCTGTGACACCTGCATTGTAACGTTCATTATGCAATTAATTTTCCTTTTATTAGAAGTTGTATTATTTTCTTAGTGGGTGGTTTCGTATTTATAATTTCCTTTTTTATTATATTTAATCCAAATATTTTCTTTTATTACTTGTAGGATACAAATCTAGCTTGCTTTTAGCTGGAGGTTATTTTATGGGGCTTTGACCTTGAAATATCTGCCACAAAAAAACCCCAAATACTAAGGCTGTGAATATGCAGTATATGGAAACATAGTGTGCAGAAATGCAGGGTATCTTGGTTTATAGTCACTGTTTGAATTTGAAAAGTAGCAGTGTTCTTGTGCAAAGTTTACACCTTTCTTTGAATGCTTATTTTCCAAGGTCAGACTTCGTTAGTGGATTTACTGGTAGCCAAAGGAGCCATTGTCAATGCCACAGATTACCACGGTTCAACTCCCCTTCACCTCGCCTGTCAGAAGGGATATCAGAATGTTACAGTAAGCACAACACCTAACCTAAATAATAAATACATGCTTCTTACTAAGCTCTTCTACTGTTGCTGTCATTTAGATCTTCTGGGGAACTTCTACCAAAACTGTGTAAGCTGTCAGAATGGAGGATCTTTCATCATTGTAGTCTCCAAGACAGTTTATTTTTTCTTCTACTGCAAGGTTTTCAGCCATTGGAAATAACCAGCTGGCAGCTCTGCATACCTAATAATTCATCCACTTTATTAACACAGATGTCCAATACATAATACAAATGCAGAGTATCTCTGCTCTTGCTTGAGACAGAACAACCACTGCAGTCACTGGGCTGAGTTAAATGCTTCACACTGTGTTTAAGATAGATTGTGTAACTACAGTAATTATTGTCTACTTGAATTTAATATATGTGATATTTTCAGTTAGCATTTTTGAAATAAAGTTGTGTCTTCACTTGCATAGGCTCTTGAAATGTGAGGTAGATCATGTAGTGAATGTACTGCAGTGTTTGCTGCAGTAGAGAATTCATTTTTTTCAATTAAATTCTGAATATGTAATAAGAGACTTTTTGATTCTCAGGGTAGGGCACAAGCAGTGCTGCACTGCCAAGAGGGTGGTGTCTGAAATGGGAGGCAGAGCTAATGTCTTATGAAGTGCTTCATCATCATGCCAGAACCCTAAAGGAATCTGCAGAGCAATAATTGTTTGTACATTAATTTTTTAGCTACTTAAATGTCTACTTTTGTTTTTCTTTTAAGCTGCTCTTATTGCACTACAAGGCAAGTACTGATGTTCAGGACAATAATGGAAATACTCCACTTCATTTAGCCTGCACTTACGGTCATGAGGATGTAAGTAATTGTTTTGTAACAAACCAAATGGGCATTCTAATGCAATGGAATTAAACTGATGCAAATCAGCACTAGACTTACATATTTTTAAAAGTAAATAAAAATATTTGAAGGCTAAATTGTTTAATGCTCTAAATGAGGACTTTATTTGGTAGTTCACAGCAATTTTTAATATGACTTCACATTAAAGATAGCAGTGCTTTGCAATGTAGTTGTTTAACTCTTTATTTAATGACACTGAACCACTAAAGCCTTATCTTTAGGTAATGGGTTACATAAGTAGCAATAAAAACAAACCTTTTAGGATTGTGCCTGTTGTCTGAACTGAGACCCAACACTATAATTTATTGATAGCTTTCCTTTTCTTCCCAGTGTGTCAAGGCTTTGGTGTACTATGATGTGCATTCCTGCAGACTGGATCTTGGCAATGAGAAGGGAGACACTCCTCTCCACATCGCTGCTCGCTGGGGCTATCAAGGGATCATTGAAGTGCTCTTGCAAAATGGGGCAAACCCAGAAATTCAGAACCGGATGAAAGAGACTTCCCTACAGTGTGCATTGAATTCCAAGGTATTCCTCTTTGTCTTCCAGCCTGATTTCCTTCTGATGCAACACCACAGAGGTGGAGATTTTCATTGCTAAGGGGGTTTCACTATTAAAGAGAAAATGTGTGTTTTACTCTGAGGAAGAAAAGTCCCATTTTAACTCCAGCAGCAGGAATACACTCTGTGGGATAGAGCATGAACTTGTAAATGGGTACTTCTAATCTGCTCAGTCATATTCTGTCACTAATTATAAGGTTGTCAGCTAATTTGTGTTTCAGTCAGTAGATTCCTCTATAAGTGGAGTTACATTGGTTCTCTCTAATTTTTTTGTCCAGATTTTGTCGTTGATGGAAGTAAACTACCTAACATTTGAAAGAGGACAGAGTGCTTCTGAGGTAACAGCCCATGCAAGTTGTTAAATTGTTTCTTGCCTATGCTTAACCTCCTTTATTTGATATTTAACTTTTTATGGTTGTTTGTTTGATTTTTATATGTTTTTTTCCAACTGTAAGTCACCGCTTAGGTCTCCTCAGCACTCAACAGAAACTTTCAGCAGAGGATCATCTGTCTCAAGCCTATCATCAGCATCAACTGATATAAGGCAAGAAGAAGCAAAAAACAGTTATAAAGAGGTAAGACTGAGGTACAGGTTTTGACAGTAAGCAAAGTGAAGGAAGCTATAAGAGTAATAATTTGCCACAGAGTTTTCAACTGCTTCTTCAGGAATAGCCTTTTGTCTGGTTTGGAAAATAGTAACTTCTGTCCTCTGAGGCTTGTCATCTCAGTACTTATTTTTGTGTGGTTTCAAGTGCTCTGTTGGTTATTGCTGGGGGAAAATTGACACCATCTCTGAAGTAGTTGTTCATATTTATTGAAGTTAACTACGTAATTTGAGAATTTGTTGAGGTTTACCAAAGTACAGTGCCCCAAGAACCTAGCTGTCCCATCCAGGAATTAAGTGCCACTGTTAGCTTAGAAAATCTGTCAGAGAAAAAAGACTAGTACAGGCATGCTGGCAAACAACAAACTGGAATGTTAAGACATGCTTTCAAATAGGCATGGGAATCAATTTGTAACAAGTGAAGAAGTACAGACTATATATTAAATATCTTGCATGTATGTGTTTGCTGATTTTACTCTGTCCTCACCAGATGGCATCCTCTGAATTTTTTCCTGTGGGATTTCAGATCCACACTTTGTTGCCCCTTCCCAAGACTGTCATATCACCACTCATTCTGATGAGTCTTTTTATTTTTCCTAGTCTACCTATTAATTTTTTTTTCCAAATTGACCTCCCTAAGTATGTGTGTTTCTCTCAGTATCACCATTACATTCAACTTCTTCCTTTTCCTGGTATTAGAAGATTTTATTTCTTCAGTGTTTAAAGAGAACTGAAACTTCTAGCAAAAAAACAAAGATGCAAATTTTGAGTGGACAATATGATTTCACACTTGAGTTGCTCTAGGAGAGCTCAGTGTAGGGCTGTACCTCCCTGTTTGTACAGAGTTAAACTCTCTAAATAAGTTCTCCTTGTAGACTGAGGATTTACTTTTTCTTTGAAGGAATAAATTTATCACACCCAACTACTAAGACTGTAGTTCACACCAGGGAAAAAGATTACAAACTGCTTACACCTGAGGTCCTTGGGGTTAATGACCTTCTCTGTAATCCAGCTTTAGTTGATTTCTGTTTGCCAAGTTTCACCTGGGCTCCCTGCTCAAAGAGGCAAGAGCCTGGTACTGAGAGAGCTCCAGGAAGGAAACACCACTGGAATAATGGGAAACTGATACTGTCAGTTTTCCAGATTTCAAGGTTTGCATCTTGGATTAAGGGGATCCACTCAGACCTTGATTAATCAATACTGAATTAAACTCTTAAGTGAGCCAGTCAATAGTGGCTTGTTTATTATGACTTAGAAAAGAGAGAGTGAAAGAGCCAGGATTGTAAATTTGGGACTTGTTCTGTTGGAACTAATATATCCATGCTTAGTTTCTCTTCAGCAGCTGAAAAACTGGCTATGCAGGTGAATTGCAATAGATTTGTTTATTCTATTTTTACATTTAAAGGAAGGTTCTGTTCCATGGAAGAGTGTGGAAACAAACTGGAAATATGGGGAAATGCATGGAGCAGACATTTTGCCCTAAGTACTCTTAATAAATTATCTATAAGCTGCCTAACAAATGTACCACTGCTGGGGCCTGAGGCAGCTTTTAGTACTTTAAGAAAGTACTAAAGAAATTACTTAACAAAGTTGTTATTTTTGGAAAGAAATTATCAGGGCTTATATGTCTCTGCTATTACTGTTAGGCATCTTGTATGGCATAAGGTGACTCCTGAAAAATCCTGAAGACATTTACATTCTCCAGTGACAATATTCTGTATGATTAGGGGAAATTTAGGGGAGGCACAGACCTCCCTTGGGTATATAGTCCATTTTAGCTGTGTATGTGGAGAGATTGGGATTCAGCTCACTCAGCTTCTGGAAGACAGTTGTCTTCACTTCAGACATCTATTTCCCCTCCTCAGTCAGTGGAAGGAAATTTACTTCAGAGAGCAGTTCATCTCAGACATGTTTAGTTTGACCTGAGTTGCACTCAGGTGTTATTTGTTGACTGCCTTCTGTTTTGTAGAGGGAATTTAAAAATAAAATGTCTGGTTGAGGGTTAGACAGCTGACTTTTAGACATTCAAAGTTAGGAAATTAAAATCAAAAGAATCATAGATTCTGCCCAGAGTGACCAGTGCATTACTTCAAGGACCTTCATCCTGTATTAGAAAGGTAGTAATCAACCCAAACTTAACAGTGTTCCTAAGAAGAGATAAAAATGGAGAGATTTAATCTTGCTTCTGATCTTTCAGCTGTTTGTGTCCTGTTCTTCATCTAAAACCCTGAAGAAAGAGATCAGAGCAATAAAACACAAACTTCAGTCTCATTCTTCCTTGTTTGCCTTGCCAAACACCACTGTCACACTCAGCAAGGTGGCAATTTCCATATGAAGATTGAAATGTGACTGAAGCTGTCACTCCATGACGTCTCCACCTTGCAAGGTGTTCCTTGCTATAGAAACAAGTGTGTTTACCCATTTGCATCTTCAGTGGTTCTAGCACAGCGCTGCAATAATTTGCTATAATGCCAAAACAGACTTTCACAAAGCTTATTAAATGATTCTTGACACTCTGCACAGCCAGGCGAATTGTGGGAGGACTGATGGACTCTCCCTATCCTTTGGCTGGCACCTTTCCCTTTCTTGTCAGGCTGGATCTCGACTCCTTCACGTGAGAGTAGAGAATTAGAGAAGTGAAGGGACAAGTTAATCTCCTCCTCCTGCTTTCCCAAGCAGCCTGAGGGCTCAGGGCAATGGCACCAGTGCTCTGCAGAGCATCTTCAGCTCTTCTTCCCTCACATGTCTGCTCCCCCTGCAGAGCTCGTGAGCAGGCCGTGGCCTCACCTTATGCTAAAATGGGCTAATGCTGCTGCTTGTCCTAATGCACACCCTTTGGTATTTATATCTTCCCAGATTTTAAGTAAGAAAACAAATTTCATACTTGCAGTCAAGTTAGATATGTAAATGTTTGGGTTTTAACACAGGATTAAACCAGTTATCTGCAGATGTAAAAGTCACAATTGGAAAGCGTCTTTTTCATCTTAAACTGTTGTTTCTCAAATAGCTTTGTGTTCCTGTAATTATACTGTACACTGGAATTATAAAGAGATGGGCACAGGAGTAGTGTGTTCAGGTTTTTGGGAGACACTGGTATCAATATATTTGAAGCTGTGTGCTGGATAATTAGAGTAGCATAGCTCTGCAAGAGTCCAACCAGTGTTAGTGTGTATTAGGGAAGGAATTTGCCTTGAGCAGGGATTTTTAACATTAGGTTCACACAGAAATGCACAGGGCAGCTCTTGCTGGAGCAGCATAATAATATATATCAGCTTGCATGGCTTTGTTTATGGGTAGGCCACATATCCTCTATTTAGATAAATACTGCTTAACTAAACAAGTCAGAGATCATCAAATGGCCACAGGCCTTGTGCAGATTCTGTTTCATAAAGTGGCCAGCAGTAATCATACAGCATGAGCGTAGGAAGTTAGCAAAGGACACAGGATTTTCTGTGTTCTGCTTCATACTAACAAAGCAAATAAATAATTTTCTTCATACACAGGTAGAAAAACTCCTGAGAGCAGTTGCTGATGGAGATCTGGAAATGGTGAGTGTTAATGTGGCTGTTGAATATTACTGAATTCCTTTTTATCCTATTCAAATTGAGGAAGTTATTTGTAAACAGTATCAAGTTGGAGAATGTTTTGTGTAATAATCTCATGTAAAGAGGAAATTCAGGTTACACTAGTCAGCAGAGAGATGCTATTTGTGGGGCATCTGTCTTCTTTTATTTATTATTGTTCTTCTTTAATTTATTATTGCCTTTATTCCTTAAAAAATAAGATACTTCCAATGTCATTCTACTGAAACATTGAAGATGACACAGGAATCTTTAGGAGTTTTGCTTTTGGGAATGTGTGCAAGGTTGTAGATTTCTTGATTTTATTGTAGTTCACAGAACAAAACAATAAAGCTGTGTGAGAATGCAGGTTTGCTCCATTGGGTGCATGTTCTGTAAAACCAGTTTGGGTTGGTTTTTACCAGGAGTTACAAATGCCAATGAAGCCTCATAGAGTCATCAGAAGATAGAAAACCCATGTTGCAAAATATGTGCCACGTTAATTCTGTGTCTCTTCTGTTTTATTCCACTGAGATGATAGAAACAATTTATTAACTGATAGAGCAAAGAACTGTTCAGTTGTTGAGTAGGTATCATTGTCCTAGTTTACAATGTGACTTAATGTAAGTAATTATTTCCAAGCGAGCCCTTAAGTCATTTCAAGAAGCAGTAACATATACAATAGTGATATTTTCCATTTTCCTGGCCAGTAGTAAATGTACATGTATTGCAGTTAACTTTTCACCCACTTTGTGAAAATCTAAACTTCATCAAGAAAATTAAGTACAGTGCTCTAATTTGCTGGGAAATCAGTATCTAGCACTGCTCAATAGATACCAGCAATGAAAAGCATATAGAAATCCAGTCTGTGCATTCAGATGACAGAATCACCTTCTCTTTTGTGGCTTTACTTTCCTCATTACTGAAGTTCATGTGAAGCTGTTCATACAAGGAGAATCATCCAGCTGGATGGCAAAGGTTACAGATTGCATGTCTATTAAAAAGCCACAAGTATTTAAGAACTCTGACCTTGTTCTGACAGCCTGAGGTCTGTCTCCATAGGAACAGCCACAGCAACCTGGTCATTAGGGCTGCTGTAGATGTTTGCTGTGACAGCCAACTGAGCTTTGCGAAAGGAGGCATTATAAAAGTGCTGTGAAACTGGAAGACTTAAGAAAAAGAAACATTATTATGTCATTGGTGTTGTCTCAGCATAGCTACTGGATTTGGAGCTTTCCTTGTATCCAGCCTGTTCAGTGGGAAGGATATGTGCAAATCTACCACACTAAAAAAGCAAATCTCTGTCTGAAATCAGTGCTGTGGAGCAGCTGAAAGGTTGGAGTGAGGGAACAGAGACCCAGGGTGATCAGCTGAGTATTCCAAAGTAACCCAGCAGTGTAAAGAACCTTTCAGGTGACAAATTACCTGGCAAATGAGACTGGGCAATCTCCTGAGGTGGTTCAGTGTGTGTCTGCTTGAAAGTACAGTTAGTATTTTGACCAAAAATACCTTTACACCAGGAAGAATGGCTGCTGCAGTGTAATTATAAAGAGGTGAGCACTGGAGTAGTGTGTTCAGGTTTTTGGGAGACACTGGTATCTGTATGTTGGGAGCTGTGCACTGGATGATGCAAGCAGCAGGATTGGGCTGTCCCAGGAGGAGGAAGAAATCAATTGTAAGAGTCTTCAAGGAAAGAGGGAAGTGAAGTGACAGTTCTGCTTATTTTAGACATGTACAAATGTAGCAATTAGTAAAGCTTTGCTGAGCTGGCCTTCTATAAACAGGCAGGCTTGAGAGATTTTCTTTACTGCAGAGAACAACATGGAGTTTGCAGGGAAAGCAGTAATCTGTAAAAAACATCCCTTTTCAGGCTCAAATATGTTATAATTCAGAATCAGGTATTGGGCCCTTCCTGGCTTTTAGGGTTTGTTGTAGCTGCATGTGTTTTAGTGGCTAGGACATGGATGTGTTGTTTTCCCAGAGCTCAGTGGTGAGGAGCAGAACCTGTGACAAGTGAGAGTAAACAGAGTGGGAGGGATGTCTCAGAATTCCTACTGTCCCCATTCCCTTGGACTAGCAACTGTAGAGCTCTTGGCTTGGTCCAGTAGTAATGGAGACTTAATGCAATCACTGCTAATTCTAAAATGTCTTTAGTGAAATGTAGATTAATGAATTTCAAGGTAAAAATGTACTGCTTAAACAGTACATTGTTGAATGTAATGTCAAATGTAAATGCCCTAAGCATCACTGTTTGCAAGTTGCACATGAATGCCCTGAGCCCTAAGACTTCACTGAAGGGCCTCTCTCTCAAAAATGAGGCATTGCACATTGAGAAAAAAGTGAAATTGTCCAACTCCTAAGTGACAGACCTAAGGAAAGTCAGTGCCACTACGAAGTTTTGGGTATCAGTTAAATGTTGTCATCCTTGTCTTCCCTTATGTTCTTTAAATCAAAAGATGAAGCAGAATTCACATTGATATGAGCTAGCACAAATCGTCTGAGCTAAAAGGATGTGGAGTGTTTGGGAGTGGGTGAGCACTGCAGTTGTGATTAGGCAGCAGGAAGTCATTTATAATTCACTTCACTGTACTTGGAGAACTTCCCAGCTGCTTTGTCAACAATAACACTTGATTTTTTAATTTGGCCTGTGGGCAGGTGATGGCAGGAGGTAGCTGTGTGCTCCCCCTGAGAGACTCACAAGTGTGTGTTTGTCAATTCTGACTTGTCTACGTGTGCACATCTGTTAGGACAGGGAACTTTTGGACTTTATAAAGAAGGAATTGCTTTTTATGCCAGGTCCGTTACCTCTTGGAGTGGGTGGAAGAAGACTTGGAAGATGAGGATGACACAGCCAGTATATCGAAACCAGAATTCTGCCATCCATTATGCCAGTGCTCAAAATGTGGGCCAGCACAAAAGGTTGGAATATTCATTCTGTAAAAAGAGTAATTTATATGCTTGCAATGTGTTAGCTCCAGGGAAATAGAATTCATATTGCCCAGCATGTCTGTTTCTCTGTCTAAAAATAAATTAACTATATACAGATTTTCACACTTTATCTGATAGTATGAAATTGTTATTTTTTTAATGGAATTGTTTAACATTTTGGATACAGGAATGGTGTTCATGGACTTGCACAATGTCTAATGGATTGAGAAAGAGTCACAGTTTGCTTTTAGGATATGTGGAGTGCTGTCCGGAAGGTTTGGGCCACTTTGAATAAACATTCTTTTCTAAGCCTCTGATTCTCTTTAGTGTACACTGCTAGTGGCACAGCATATCTACTTACCTGTTAGTAATCAGTTCAGCAAGGAATACCTGCTAATCCCAGAATCCATGTAATGCTGATGAAGTCTTTTTTTTAATTGCATGGCATCTTTTCTACAAGCCATATCTAAAGCCTCTTCAGAGATCTCATATAAATACAAAGACTTTCTTTTCAGTTGCTAAGATTTCCTTCCCCCTAAATTACCACACTGTAAAATAGAACAAGGCTTTACAATGCACTCTTTCTATGGTTTTTTTGGTTTGTTGGTTTTTGGGGGTTTTCTGGGGGGATTGATTTTTTTTTTTTTTTTTTTTTTTTTTTTTTTTTTTTTTTGTTTTTTTTTTTTTTTTTTTTTTTTTTTTTTTTTTTTTTTTGTGTGTGTGTATGTGGTTCTGGTTTGGGTTTTTTGTTGTTGTTGTTTTACATAAGGAACAATCCCAGCTTTTTGGAAATGGAAATTCTATAACTTGCCTTCCAGGAGGTGTCTGAAGGGGTACATGACTGGATAAGTCATTGCAAAATAAACCTAAGTACAAATTTTCAGTTTATTGGCTGCTTTGGGGTTAACAGCACTGTGAGATGGTTTAGCTTCTGAATTCCCCACTGCCACCACAGGTTTATTTTGTGCAGGCTTAAAGTGTGCTGTTGTCCTTGAATGCTTCACATTTACACCGTGCTTTCTTCTCTGGTAAGGGGTGTCCCCGTGCCCTCAGGACAGAGATCAGGTGCTAAAGATGCCAGAATCCATAAAGCTCATTTTATTGCTGATGGGGAGGGGAATGGCATCTGCTGTGGCATTTACTTGCCTGCTGAATGAGAAGAAGGAACTTGTTAGTTAATCCTAACCCCTGTGTTAGGCAGGCACACGTGAAAGCACAGGATGAAAGGTTGTGCACCACTGTAAATGTCATGCAGGCACAGTTTGCAAGAGGAGTGACAGAGGATGTTCTGTACAGCTGGGTAAACTGTCCTCCAGTTGCTTTCCTTATCCTGATTCCCCCAGGGAGTCTTCTTTCTGGGCTGCTCTTGGCTTCCAGGTGAATTAAATTAATTTTAGTTTGTATCTTTATTACCCCAAGCTTCATGTAGCAATAAGAGGTGTTTAATGTCTGTCTCAAAGTGCATAAATATCTGTATAAATGAAAGTAACTTATTAACACTGCCTCATATCCAGTATGAGCATCCTAACAGCTATATAAAAACTTTCAGTTTTACTTATGTCTCAACCTGTGCTGCTTTAGCCACTTTTTAATGTCATGAATACTTTGCCTAGGATTGCTCTCCATGAAGTTATCACATTGGAAGAAAAGAGATAACAATAAAATTAATTTACTGTTGAAAAATACCACCAAACTGCTCTGCTTCACTGACTTTTTCTGAAGGCCTCAAATTAGACTCTAGCAGAATTTCTTGTAATGCACATCTGCCCATTTTATACAAACTTAGCAGATATTTGGCTATTTCACGAATTAAAAATAAAGCATGATTATAGTTTTATTGTGTGTTTTCCTCACCAGAAGTTTTCCAAGGTCTGTGCCAACGGGCTGGGGGTGAATGTTTCAAACCAGGAGGGCTTCACCCCGCTGCACATGGCTGCTCTGCACGGGCACACTGAGCTGGTGTCGCTGCTGCTGCGCCACGGCGCCGGCGCCAGCGCCGAGAACTCGCAGCTGGCAGCTCCCCTGCACCTGGCCTGCCAGAGGGGACACGCCCAGGTAACCCTGCCCTGCCACAAACCCCGCTGCCCCCTGGCACCCACCCCAACCTGCCTGGGGAAACCAGCAACCCCGAGCAGAGAAAATGAGTTCGGTGGTTCTGGCTTTTGTTTTCGGTGTCTAAAATCCCCAGAGGGAAAGGGGAACTTTGAGCTGAAATCATTTCATAGACACCTTTTCTTTATAAAAGCATATATGACTTATATAAACATATATGACTTATGTATATAACCATATATGACTTAAAATACTGGTTTAATGCACATGATTCAAAAACCTTCTGTCATATTTCAAATGCTTTAAACATTCCTTGTGCACCTGAATCTTCTGTGTTCATTCCTCTGTACCTTCTCTGGGTTGTGTGTCTTGGTATCTTCAGTAGCGACAGTACTGAATAATTACTGTATTTTCAACTTCTTAATTAGATCATGTGTGGAGTGCAGCTTTGAGGCAGCAGATAACTCATCCCTCACTTTGAGTCAGGGAAGTAAAAGCACTGAAGGAGAAGCATAAGCCTATTGGAAGAGGGTTGTCAATACAGAAGGGAGAGTAAATGAGACAGGAAAATAATAAATATGAAAAAGCAGGGGCAAAAAGATAAATGGAAAGATGCAGAAAAGCAGAAAATTAGGATTTTAAAAATAAGGAGCTGAAAATTTCAGGAGGGGAAAAAAAAGAATTTTGAAAATGATGGGAAGACAAAGCACTAGGAAAGCAAGGAAAACCAAGGCACTAGGGAAGCAAGGAATACAACTCAGAGTTGTAGGTTAATTCATGGGATAGTTGTAGATTAGTTCATGGGGTAATTACAGTATAAAGAACTTCCAAGTGTTGTGATGACTTTGGAAAAGGATGCTGCTGCTGTGGTGGTTTTGTTTTGTTAAGTTACTGGTTCTATTTATTTTTCACGCACCTTGAGTTTTATTTTCTGGCCTTTTTTGTAGTTGCTTAATTTTTCTTTTTTAAAAGTGGGTGTTAAAGTATGAAAATTAGTGTCATACTCAATAACTCAGTACTCCTACTCAGTAAGAGTAAAGCTGTTACTTCTTTCAATAGGTGGTAAAGTGTCTGATGGATTACAATGCTAAACTAAATAAAAAGGATGTATATGGAAATACTCCCTTAATTTATGCATGCTTGAATGGTCACTATGAGACTGCTGCCCTGTTGTTGCAGGTAAGATCACTGAAGACAGTGTTTTGCTGGTATTTCTTATGTGATATCTGTATTTATCCAGTACTCAGGATCAGTATTTTTAGTTAAGCATTTCTCTGTCAAAAATACTTGGGGAAAGAAATAGGAGTTTTTCTAAATTTATTCCTTTCAATCCCATCCCTTCACAGATGTTAATTGGATAAATATTACCTTGCTATTGTACAGGTAGCTGTTTTTATGGAACTTTTATGTGTCAGGTGCAGGTTTTCTTGCCTGGGATTCTATCACATAGGGTTGGGGGTTTCTCTAAAGCTTGGAATATGTAACAGATACGTGCGAAACCGAAATGAGCTGATCCCTGAAGCTGTGGCAATGAGATGGGGCGGGAACGTGGCCGGGTGGGTTCTTGTGGCTCCTTGCTCACGGCGGTTTCCTCCGTGCAGCGCGGAGCCTCCGCCAACCCCTCGGACGGCGCGGGCAGCGCGGCGCTGCTGCGGCACGGAGCCCTGCGGGACCGGGGCGCGGCCGACTGCGCCCAGCCCGTGAGTGCTGCCTCTCTGGAATGAGTTATCCTAGGCTAAAAGGATGAGTCTAGGAAGAGTGGGAGCACAGAGCTAAATAAAATTAATGTTAAAGTCTCTGTAGTGGCAGAGAGAGCAGAAGCAATGTTGGATGTAGGCAAATGAACACGTTGCACTGGTCACTTGCACTGGTAGCAACGTTCCTTGTCTCACCCACCATCTTCTGCCCTGCAGGCCTTTTGATTCCTTTTATCTTGCAATAGATCGCTCTGACCTTCCTCTTTATTAATAGCAATAACATTATATGTAATACTAAATGATACAGAATTATTTCACTCTTTAAAGGATTTGACACATAACTCCTATCTTAATGTGCTTAAATGGCCTCTGAGATGTAGCTTAATGACCACAAAACTCTGTACTGAATCAATTTTGGTATGGATGTTACAATTTCAACTGAAATTGGCTTACCCATAAGTAATACAGCTTAAAATAAGAGATCACGACTCCAACACCATCACTGCTTTAAAGTGTATTTTGTGGAACATTGATTTTGTCCCTACTCAGAATTATAGAATTTCAAGTTTGTTTTTATGAATTATTTTATATGTGTTGTATTGATTCATACAAGCATTATTAGCATACTCTGCACAGACTGAATACTAAATTGTACTGTTGTTTTTCTTTAATAATGGTGAAAATGGAAACTCTTAAAATCAAGAATTCAAACATCATGAATTTGCTGGAAGCAGCACCAAGCTGTGTCCCCACATCAGCAGAGGGAGAGAAGGAGAGTGAGCAGCACATTACTGGCAAGATAAGGAAAAAAGGTACCTGTGATATTTCCATTGGTATGAATAAAAAGGGATTTAGGAATTCATGGGTGATTGTATAAAGCATTTTATGTAATTGCTATACATATAATAATAGAACAGTCAATTGTTTTACATATTTATGATAGCTAACACCTAAAATACTGTAACTAAATGCAGCAGACTTTGTATTCTACTCATGCCACTGCTTCAAACTTAGTTTTCACCTGCTTTGGGGTACATGTATAAGTTTTACCTACAAAACCATTTAAAGGTAAAAACACACTACATTTGAGATTATATAATTAGCCATGTAGGAACTGTGCATTTCAGTGAAAAGCAAAACATATTTAAATGACTTTTGGGTGTCATTTATACTGCCCTAAAACAGGTCAGGGAGTGACTCTTTGTTAGTTACTGTCTCTCATGTTTTGGGACAGAAATGAGAGCTACAGAGGTGACTGTGAACCTTCCAGCACAGCTTGCAGAGGACTTTGAGCAAGTGGCAGGAGGTGGCACAGTGTGGCCACAAGGTGCAGTGCCAGCACAGCTGGGCTGCGGCAGGGCCCCAGTGCCTGGGGAAGGATGAGTAACCATCCTTTTAATACCTTTTATCTTGCAGTGCTAACTCTGACCTTCCCCTTTTTAATAGCAATAACATTATGTGTTATATTCAATGATGCAAAGTTATTTCACTCCTTAAAGGATTTGACACATGGCCCTATCTTAATGTGCCTAAGCAACCCCTGAGATGGAGCTTAAGGACCACAGATTCCTCCTCACCTCTCACCCCCAGCTTCTGATCTGCCTTATCCACTGCTTCCATTATGCTGGCTCAGAAGTTTATCAGGTGAATTTTCAAGTTCACTACCCTGGGGATGTAAGAAAAGCTGTGTCCCCTGCAAAGGACACGATGCCACCAGGACTGTAGAAAGAAAACAGGGAGGCTGCAAAGCAGGAATCAGAGAAGATGAGGAGCAGGAGTGCCCATTTCAGCATCCATGAGTTTTCAAAGTAACTCTTGCTTCCTTCTCTCAGAAAGATTGCAAATGTCTGGTTAATAGGAAATCACAATTAATCACAGTGTGCTGACATCTAAAATTGAGAATAGTTATTTCAAATATTTTGAATAGTTCTAAAAGAGCAATAGAAGATATGAGTGAGTAATACTAATGAATATGTGGTTTAGCATCTCTGTTTAAATTCAGGTTGGTAAAAACTGGAATTCGGGGCGTCAAAGTCCAGAATTACAGTCTTTTCAGAAGCTTGGCCAGTTGTAATAATCTGAGAAAGAATGGCTACTTCTGCAACTTAAAAGTTTTAAAATTTCAAAAGACAAATCACCACTCTAATTCAAGTTTAGCACTGTTACAGTTTTACGTTCAATTTAAAATCACAACTGTGTTTTTTAATTCCTAAGTGAGACCCAGTTATAATTTTAGCTGCCTGTTCTTTTAAACCCCCAGTGCACCCTAAGCCCTGTGAGGAAGCCGATGATCCCATAAGCAGACAACTTCAACTGGTCGAATCAATTAACAGATTTAACAAGTAAGTAGAGAAGCCTGCTCAGAGTGTGTTTGTTGTTTCCCATAAGCAAAAGGTGAAGTGCAGCTGCTAACGAAGTCCCAAAATGGGTCCGGGGTGGTTACCCATGACATGGTGATGTGCCAGTGGATGTTAATCCTGCAGGGCTGGCATTGTCACATCCCCAGGCAGATATTCTGGGCATGACAAGCTCACTGGGGTGGTGAGGGAGGGAAAATGTATCTAAAACTGGGATTGCACTAATACTTGTGTACCATTAGTTAAGCATATTGTAGTGGTGTTCACTCATTGCTTGGGTTTTGCTCAATATCTTTTTAAGCCCTAATGTATATTCCATAGTAAAATACAGGGAATACAAATAGGCTGTAATTCTGGGAAGGTGTTGTCAGGGAGATGCCTGTCTCTGGTGAGACAGTTCCACCTTGTGGAGCTTCTGAGAGAGAGTCCTTTATAAAAGGCTTATGTGAAGACATTTTAATTTGATTTCTTTAAAATCTTTTTCAGAGAAAAACACTTACGGAGAACAATAACAAGAGATAAAAGTGTCCCTAATTTTGACTGTCACTTACTGCACCAGGTAAGTGGAAACACTTGCTCAGATTATTCTTATATTACAGCAGTTATGTTTGTTGCTCTGCTATTATGCTGGGTACATGTTAGAGAAAATTTACTAGTGATGGTAATTGAATCACACAAGTTCTGACCTGTTTGCCAAATTGCTCATTTCATCATTGTTCAAACTTCAGTGGTGTTTCTATGACACCTCTTGAACACTTCATTCTTTTCAATTTCTTAAGTGTCTTACTGCAGGCTGAAGAGAAACTTGTCTTGTTTTCTGTGTCCTGTCCAGCAAAACCTAGAACTGAAAAACTCTGCAGCTTCTTGGAGCTATAGCTTGCTTTGGCAAGGGAGACATTTTTCAGTAGGTTGAAATTAGAGTTTGCTTTAAGTCTGCTTGTAAGAGGAGGCTGTTTGCAAGAGTGACAGCAAACTGCATGTTGCACTGTCAGCTGTGACACAGATATATGTAATAGATTCACCTCTGCTAGGGGTGCAGTGACACCCACCCACACCAGCTGCTAGATGCTGCCTTCCCCAGAGCTTGTGCTCATTCTGCCTCCTTTACACTGGCTTTGACTCTCTTTGCATCTTCTGCTGGGCCATTTCAGAGCACTGAATCAAGAGAAAAATGATCTGTCCAAAACAAAACGGTTTGTACCAGGTTAGTCCAGCAGCTGACCATCTGACACAGCTTTGGAAATGCAGACTCTGCAGCTCATATCCTTCTGGAAAATGAGATACTCTTCCTTTTTCTACAGCCCTTAGAAGACTATTTGCCAAAAGCCTTGAGAATATTAATTCTATAAAGCTGTAATATTTTAATAATTCTTTCTAAATGATCATATTCCACTATATAACTTGGGATTTACATTTTATAACTGTGGCTCACAGAAGGCAGTATGTCATTTCAGTACACAGGTGTCAGAAAACTAGTATGTGACACTGATACAGAGCACTCCAGCCCTGTTCTGTGGTTGTGAGTTCATACAGCTGTGGCTGAACTAATTCATGAGTCCATACAGCTCTGAATTGTTAGTGGATTTAAATGTGGATTTAAATAACCTCTGTCTGCAGCTTTTTAGAGATTGTTACCATTATTTCAGTAAAAAAGCTACTTTCTCCTTTCATTCTTGTCTTAGATCTGTCATTGTCATGCTTGCATTATCTTTATTTCTTCTGGTTATTTTAACATTTGCAGAGTGGCCAGTAATCCAGGCCAGGCACCCACTCTGTACAGAAGAAACAGGAGCAGGTGTAGAAATGGAAGATACGAATATTTGGAACAACGAGAAAGAGGAACTAAGGGGTGGGGAGGGTGGGTGTCTCTTCCCTGACAGGTGACCTCTGGAAGCAGGGAAAACTGCCTTTGCCTTCAGCAGTCCCCGGGTGACCCTGTCTGTTACTACTTCCACTTTTCTTAATAGTAAAAGAAATGGCTGTTAATTTCAAGTGCATTGAGACTTGCACTACAAATGGTATTTAGAACTAGAGTTGGGATGCTGCTGGGATAGTGAGGTGAAGATAAGTTTTGGAATGTCTGTTCTCAGGTCTGGTACTGATGTGTGTGTGTGTGTGTGTAGCCTGGGGCAGGCTGGCTTCTTGTTTTCTCGTTGTAGCCCAAATATAATTACTCTCTTACAAAGTATGCTATTTTAAATCTTGACTGTGTTCTCAGTGTCATGAAATTCATGTGATAATAATGTTCAAGAAATAATATATTAATTTTCCTTCTTAATGAAGAGATATATAATATAATAGATAATGCTTTTAATGTACCATGTCTCTCCCCTCACAGATGGCTATTAAAAGCTTTGATAAAAGCAAACTCAAATCGGTTGGAACGCTGGAGCAGAGCACAGGTGAGGTGGCTGGCTGGGGGTGCAGCGGCGAGTTTGTGGAAGATGATGCTGGCACGGCAGCTCCTCAGAGGAGCAGGCTGACGCAGCGCAGACACATGGTCGCGGTGCCGCTGCCAGCGCAGGGCAGCGAGGGAGGCTCCGGCAGCCCGGCCGGGCCCGGCGCGCCGCGCTCCCGCGACTGGCACGGGGCAGGCTCGGATCTCTGAAGGGAAGCGCGGCTCGGAAGGCCGAGGCTGAGGTCGGTGCTGTGAATTTCAGCAGCCCTTGCTGCGCTCAGATGTCACACACCCAGTTCAGGGCAGACACAGGCTCTGTAGCACAGCTGGAATGTTCTGGCACCCTGGGGCCCGACTCCTCTGTTCATGCAGGAGGTGACCACACAGCCAGATCATTACTGATCTCACTAACAGGGACGTAAGGGAGATGAAGACAGCAAAATTACTTTCCTATTCTATTCAGCACTTATTAAAAAGTTCTATGTAACAGTAAACCAAATGAAACCCTGTATTGTATTTTTCAGCCACCCACTTTGTTTTAAAAGTCTTTGAATAATTTTTGCGTTTTCAGTTTTTATCACTACATTGAGAATTAAATATAAATATATTTATATATATAAAAAGATATATTGGATAACAAGGTATTTATTGCCAGAGGTAATTGAAATGTCTCTATTTTTATTGTAATGTTACAAACCATTATAGTATATATTTCTGTATAGTTCAGTAGCTGGACAAACAATAGTCCGTAACATCTGCATTACTAATGTGAAGGGATGCAATCTAATATCTCAGCAATGCTCCCCTGTACCGGAGCTGCAACATCAAGTTCTTTCAGGGGAGCCAAGATACTGGGGAAAAAGTGGGGAGCCCTTGACAAACCTAAACTTTGGACTTGCTGTTCACAGCCTAATAAAAAAGCAGAAGCAAGCACAAGGTGCTTGCTTGTGTTTTATTGTAGCATGCATCTGAGTTGCTTTTTCCTTCCTCTAAAGGAAGTAATGCAAAAATGCACAAGTATTCATGATTCTGATCCTGGGCAACATCCACAGACAGAACAGCTTCAGAGCCTGCTCTGGACTATTAAAAAGGTGAAATTTCCACTATGAAAGGTACTTCTCACGTCAGTGAGCGCTGGCTGGAATAGGCCAAATCTTGCCCCATTCCCAGGGGTGATCACTGAAGAACTGAAAGCTCACAGGGAACTACCAAGTGGCTGCTTAGTTTGGAAGTTCATTTTCTACTGTTTGGTTATGGGAGGACAAACTGTAAATAGCACAAGCCAGGTTTTTCACTGCAGAATCTTTTTATTCTTGGCTCATCACATCCAGCTTGCATTTTATTTCATGAACTATTTGTATAGATAATTATCTTTCTTTTAACTGTGGTATTAGTAAACTACCTGGCAAAATACAAAGCTGCAAGATAAGCATGCTGGGTTTTTCAGATAACTTTTTAATCTAAGAAGTAAAATGTCAAGTGGCATTTGGATTTGAGGGTAATGTGTTTATTTTTCTAATAATTTATGAGTTAATCTGATTTTCTGATGTGCCTTGGATTTGTGCCAAATGATGGAAAGAAAAAACGAGTAAAAGAACTCTTGAACATGCTGTTTTCTTTAAGTGCTTTTGTCCAAGCATTGAGTCTATTACAGATTTTCTTGTCTCGTAGGCATTTGGAGACTTTACCTTGTGTTTACTCTTGGACTTTCCTTCTTCCTACATTTACAGATAACTTTATTAGGTTGTGTGGTTTTAGATTTATACACAGAGGTGTATAAAACAGAACTGTTAATGAAACTGAGCATCTTTACATAACCTCCTTTTCTAGCTCTACATTCACATTATAAATAAAAGGATGTTCAGTTACTACAAGTCAAAAGACACAAAAGAGGTAAAACAGGTTTTTTCTTCTTGTGATACTATAAAAATGACTCAAAGTAATTGGTCTTTACCTGTAGCAAGAATAATCCAGATATCAAGATCTGATTTCCAAATTACAGTGAGAATTCTGCTTGTGTTTTATTGTAGCATGCATTTAACTAAATTATTCTTAAGATTTTTTCAACCATATAGATAAGAAAAGTCAGTTCACCAAACTTTGGCTTCAAACTCGGTAAGGGTGGTAAATCTGAAGAAATTTGGCACACTCAGTGTATCACTAAAGCTAAGGCATCCTAATTACAAACACAGAGAAGCAAAATGCACAGTCTAAACCAAAGGAAACAAAAATAACAACTGTTTAATATTTTTACCTATATTCAGACAAGATGAAAAACACACCCACTGCTGCTCACTTAAGTTTATTCTGTTCCAAAAAACACTGCAGTTGGAATCATACACAATCCTGTTAAATTATGTCAGATAAGGGGGTTGTGGTGGGAGAATTTATCAGCACATTACAGTATTTATCCTACTGATTTCCATAACCATATTCTTGAATAAAGGTACAGCACAAGTTCAGTTTTACTTTATGCATGCAGGAGTTGCAGAGTTTAGGAAAATGGTCTTTTTCTTCCAGGTAAGAAACACTCCAGCCATTGGATAAAAGTGGAGGTAGTTGTAAGAATACACAATGCCAAGTGTCTGAACAGTGCTGTGTATGACACAGTTAACTTGCTTTGTTTGAAAGCCCAGGAACTCATAGGGGAACAGTTCAGCTGTTTGCTGGTAACATTTCTTTACACAGACTGCCTGATAGGAATCCCCTGATCCAAACTCTATTTAGATACCTTAATTTTTAAATTTCCGGTAAGGACTTGAGAGCCAGTGACTGGCTGGACAGGCATCCTTCAGGGGCTCAGGGAATCTCCTTTCTAACACTTCTGTGACAGTCTGGACAGACTATAATTCTGAGTGGCTGTTCCCTGTCTCACTTGGCTCCTGTGCTTGCTGTCTCCAATAACAGCAAGTGAAGTGTGTGCAGTGGCTGAAAGCAGAGCTTACAATGAGGAAAGGGCAACAAAACATTCATGCTAATGAAGCCACGGGGAACCCCACACTGCTCAGGCCTTATACTACAAAACTTTTAAGTTATAAAATCCCCCTTCTCAGATTTATTTTACAAGTTATTTGTTGGCCTTATTATAATAATACAAAAAAGTCAAGAAGCGTAAACATTTTCAGATCTTGCATTCTGCCTGCTAACAGCATTTTTCCAGGCTATTGTTTGGCAGCCTTACAGTAGTATTAATAATCATCCTCTTCATCCGAATCCAATACTTTCCTTCTGTTGAACTAAAATGAAATACATAAAGTGAAAGTTGAAGGGTCATGTAAATGCAGGATGGCACAAGCCTTTCCCAGTCCATGCCCGTGGCAGTGAAGGCACTGCCTGGGCAGAACACCCGCCCCAGGCCCTGTCAGTGCACAGACAGGGCTGGCCAGGCTGCCCCACACCACGCTGGCCCCAGGAGCTGTGCAGGGCTGCTCTGATGGAACCCCAGCACTCAGCAGGGCAAGGACAGTTCCAGCCTGAACTGGTCCCACACGTGCAATTCTGCTGCTCTGCCTCATACAACATTACATCTAGGAAAGAAAACTCACCTTCACTGTTGTTTTCTTTTCTGTTTGCTGACTCACTTTTTCAAGAATTTCTATCAAACCTTGTTCTGATACCTAGCAGAGTCAAACAAAGTGTGGATTAATACACTCTGAAAGATGCTTAGTATCAAACAACTGCATCACAATTTCCTTTTTTACAAAAGGGTTTTGATGGAATTTAGGAGCTATTTACAGCTAATTTAACTTGCATCTATTATAAACATCTTTTTTTAGAGTGAATTGGGTTTAGAAATAAATATAGGTGAGAAAGAATTAGGAAATATACTAACCTTTCCAGCTAGCTGTCCAAATCTTGCCATCTGTATAAGATAATTCTCTACTGCTTTTGCTTTGTCTGGCTTCACAAGTGCTAAATTGCTTACTGCAACAAAAACAGGCTCTGTTCATTTGTGTTTAGAACATTCTGCAATACCCTCACTAGTAACAAAAAAGTGAGAAGTGTCCCTAGGGAACAATCTTATTCATGCCAGGGTCATGAAATAAATTGAAAAAGGCATTTTCATTTATGCCAGGTACAAGACAGTTATATTTCTTACTTTTAAATATTTGCTTCCGATTAAACAACTTTGACTATCCATATAACTCCTTCTACTAATTAAAATAGAATCCAAAACATTAACATAATTCAGATACTCATTAGCTTCTCCCTTCTAATCACTGATATTGCCAGCTGAAAAGCTGCAAGTTTTATCTTCTCAGCAACAACAGTACTTTTCTAGTATGGCCTCTGTACAACACACTTTTGAGGAGTCTCTTAGATGAGTATTTTTTATTAGGAAGTTACTTGGATACTCACATCTTGCACGAGCTGCTTGATCAAGAACTTGAGCTAAAATAGTATTTCTTATCTCTGCTTCCCTGTAAGGAAAAGTGAACCACGCATTAAAAGTGGGATTTCAAGCACCTAAAATAACATGCACAGAACAGCAAACTATGGAAGACTTTTGATTTGTGTAAGTGGCTTCTTGAGGTCACTTCAAACCTTATATTTACATTTACAGCATTTCCTGTCCTGGGAATGTCCATTTCCCATTGCTGAAGTTACGTAGCTGGCAACATCTTCCAAGAAATCAAGGTGGTGTTTCATACCTACACCTTCTCACTTCTCATAATTACATTTTAGGAGAAAAAAGCTATGCTACCGTTTAGAGCCTACACTTATCCATGTGGAATTCACCCCAAGGCAGTATGGTAGAGCAGGCACAAGGAAATGTCCATGCAATTCCAAAAAGCAAACCAAAGTTCATTTATGTATTTAGAACTTTTCACTAAGTCTCCATGTGTTTAAAATATTTGATATAAGTATCTGCAAAACTGGACCTTTAGTTTATGAAACTTCTGTTGATACAGAATTGGACTGTGCAAAGTCAGCTCTTCAAACACTTGTTTACAATTTTCCAAATTAGCACAAATACTGAACACTGCTCCCCCAACTGAGCTTCGACAACAATAATGTTGCATCAACTTTTTAACTGGAATAGGTCTCCCAGAAAAATCAAATCAACTGGGAAAGGCTCTTCCCACTGCAATAACAGCCAAATCCAACCCAAAAGTACCGGTTTGGGAGGAGTTCTGCCAGCATTCAAGACTTGGATCATAAACTCCTAGCATCCCCAAGGAGCCAAGGATTCTGTGACAGTGGGAGGGACGATGCTTCCCCAGAGCACCCGACTGTATCACTGCAGCTCTCGAGGTTACTGAACTCAGACAAATCCCCAGGGAAAATCAGGTGCTGCTGCTTTCTCCTCATGCCCTCCCACCCGGCAGGGCTCAGGCAGTATGGTCATGGCAAGGAAGCCACACCCGCATCCAATCTTTGATCCATTTCCATCCCTTTGTTGGTGGTTTTCCCAGCAACAAAACAAATGTGGGGCAACATTCTAAAGAAATTAAATATTAAAAAAAAAACACAAAAAAAACCAAAAAAACAAAAAGAGTAAATGGTTAAAAATTATTAGATGCAAGGCCAAAATTCAATAGTCTCATTTATACCTCTGCTTTGCTTCCTGTTGCGACGGATCAGTGGAAGGATCCTGAAGAAGGAAACCAGAGCAAATATCACAATCCAGAATCATTCAACACAGGACAGAAAGTTAAAATATTCCAGCAGCATTGATGGAAGATAAACCTGCCTGCTAAACCTGCCTGCCCATGGATGAGGTCCTGGAAATGGGAATCTGCTGCCCTAGCAATAAATGTGCCGCCCTCTGCTCTCACAGCGCAGCCATGCCAACAGTGGGTGAGCTGCTCCTGGTCCATCCACAGATTCCTGTGGCTGGGGGCAGGAAGAGGCCTTCTCCTTAGGTCTAGGATAATGGGCTTCTCCAAAGCCCAGAAAACTGACAAAGCATTATAAATCCATTTGAGCAAGTTAAAGATGAGTGAAATGAAATGTAACACATTCTCAGCATGGCAGCTGAAATCCCAGAATCATGGAATAATCTGAGCTGGAAGGAACCCACAGGGATCATCAAGTCTAAGTCGTGAAACCAATGAAAAGTTAATAAGGGATGTTCTACAAGAGTTAAGTGCATTAAACACTAATACATATGAAAAACAAAAGGGGGCGAAGTTCCAAGTCACTATTACTGGTGACTATTCAGAAACAAGTAACAAAACCCCAAAATAACCTTGAACTTTATATGGAATCAACAGCTCAGATTTTACAGGTAACAATTAAAGGTGTGAAAGCAGGATGGAAAACCACAGAGACAGGAGATACTGCTGGCTGGAGGTAGGTTAGATCCTTCACAGGAACAACAAAACTGATACTTCATATAAATCCACATATGGACTGTGTCAGAGGATGGTGTCCAGCTCTTTTTAGTGGTGCCCAGTGCACGACAAGGAGCAATGGCCATAAACTAAAACACGAGTTTCACCTCAACATGGGGAAGAACTTCTTTCCACGGAGGGTGGCAGAGCACTGGAGCAGCTGCCCAGGGAGGGAGTGGAGTCTCCGTCTCTGGAGACATTCCAAACCCACCTGCACACCTCCTGTGTCAGCCGCTCCAGGTCACCCTGCCCTGGAGAGAAGCTCGACTGGATAATTTCCTGAAGTTCCTTCCAGCCCTAACAATTCTGAAATTCTGAATTCTAACATTTCAGCTCTGAAAACTAGGATGGCTGGAAAGGCGAGGAAGGCAATCCATGGAATAGTGATCGCTCGGGGCAGGAACGCTCGTGTGCCGAACGTCCCAGGGCAGGAGCGGAGGGAGGCGGCGGCGGGGCCGGGGCTGCGCTCGGCGCTGTTCGCAGGCAAAGGCCCGGCACGGCCGGGCTTCTTCCCGCTTTCCCCCGGTCTCGGTCGCACACACTCTAATCTTCTTCCCCTCCAGGCCCCGAGCGGCGCCGAAAGCGCTTCGGGCGGAGGGTCGGCCGCTGCCTCAGCCCGTGCTCGGCCCCGATGCCCCGTCCCTCACCCCGTGCTCGGCCCCGATGCCCCGTCCCTCAGCCCGTGCTCGGCCCTGATCTCGCCCCCATCCCTCAGCCCGTGCCCGGCCCCGATGCCCCGTCCCTCAGCCCGTGCTCGGCCCCGATGCCCCGTCCCTCACCCCGTGCTCGGCCCCGATGCCCCGTCCCTCACCCCGT